TCTCAAATCAACGAAAAAGGACACAAAATTCTCATAGGATAATGGTTCATTCATTAAAAAACGAACCTTTAAATCATTGTGGACAGCGTGGCCAACTAAGATACGGCCCTTGCATAGTTCAGCGACTTTCTGGTGCACTGAATCGAAGTCCTTCGCAGGTCCACCAGGCCGCATATGAGCGGGAGTGATTCCTGAGACGGCTGTCCTGTAGTTAGTTATCTTTTCTTTAGGCCTAACGTACTCATCCATGAGCAAATGGCCAAATTGATTCACTATGGACACACGCGCCAGTGCACTGTCCTTGCCATCGAAACCCACGCCCACAAATTCGCAATCCATCGCAATTCGTTTGGTTGGACTGTGAAAGACAATAGCGAAATCATGAGCGGGAGGGGGGGCAGACTGAACACGGATGGAAAACGTTTGGGGGTAAGGAATGAGGAACCTTACCCGGAAAAGGATTTCGCCTTTACGAGATCGGGGGCTGTTGACTCCTGTGCGTCTTGTGATGCCTTAACAAGGGCAGATGGAACTCCAGTAAACCACATTTTGGCCGCTTGCTTGCGCTCGCGGTTACTGATAGATTTGGCGGACTTCTTGGGCGGTACTGCACGTCTGAAATAGAAGTAAATAAGCCGGCTACAACAGGAGGGAAGTATTGCGCCACACAGTAGCCTTTAAGTCTTTAGATCTGCAAAATAAAAATGATAAAGAAGTTGCAATCACGAGCATAAAAAATCCACGATGGCCTTCTAGTGAATAAACTAAGGGGGCTGGTGCAGAAGAATAGAAATAAATGCAGAATAACTGGCGAGACCACCGTTTAAGGCTGATTATTATTATTCACTTACAGTCTATTCGGACTTCGCATGAGAGTATGAACGCCTCTTTATCCAAGGGATGTATCTGCCTAACCACGATATGAACACGAGCAAACACTTCCACGACACAGTGTGCGATTCAAACGGCGGTTCGGTCAACAACGTATCTGAGGACCACCCGGAGAGGGCAAAAATTATTCTCTGTAAGTTGATTAACTAGGATCTGCGTCTGAAAGTAACAAATACGACTGCGCAAAAGAAAATTCACGCGTATTCAACGGTCAAGGCTAATCTTTTACAAGAAATCGGTTGTTCCAAAAGCTAGATTCGAGCATATAAGACAAGCCCTCGTT